TAGCTACGTTGCATATCTGATGTGGGGGCGGAAGTGGTGTAGTGGCAAGTGGCGCGCTTACCACGCGAGCGGTCCGGGGATCAAATCCTGGGTCGTGAGTCGCCCGGGCCAACCAAGCCTTCCATCCCTCCGGGGTCGGTTAATTGGTACCAGACTTGTCTGGGAGGATAAAAACACTGACTTGTACATCGGCTGGCCCCCGCAAGTCATTGTATAGGCCACATCGCATTCAAATGCCACTACGAATTCCGAAATGGAAGTAGAATGCGTGGCGCATTCCAAAACGGGAGTGATGTTCGTTACATAAGCATAAAAGGATAAAGGATAAAGCATTTGCCGTTGATCAATCCCTTTTGGGATGCGGCACGCATTCTACTTCCATTTGTACATTCGTAGTGGCGTTTGAATGCGATGTGGCCTATACAATGACTTGCGGGGCCAGCCGATGTACAAGTCAGTGTTTTTATCCTCCCAGACAAGTCTGGTACCAATTAACCGACCCCGGAGGGATGGAAGGCTTGGTTGGCCCGGGCGACTCACGACCCAGGATTTGATCCCCGGACCGCTCGCGTGGTAAGCGTGCCACTTGCCACTACACCACTTCCGCCATTTTACTTTATGAGCGTTACTTTATAAAAATTCTGAGCATTACGTGGATAGCACGATTCTACCCGAAGCTAGTCAAAAGTTAGAGAATTTGCGCACCTTGGGAACTACCGTAAATTTGCCTACAGAGGTAATTCGATGCCCTGATTACGAAAATGACTTTCTTTTCAGCGGTGGCGCCATCTGGCGCCAGTTGGCGTCACCTTGTCACGACACCTTGTTTTCAAAATTTGGTGTAAACTTCCGTATAGGGGTTATTTGGTGTTACGAATATGACATTCACTCTCGGCGCTGGCGCTATGTGGCGACTGTTTTCCAAATGACACCACCGCTAAAAATGAATGTCGTTTTTGCAATCAGCATATCGAATTACCCCTGTATGCAATTACGGTTGTCTCTAGATGTACGCAAGTGCACTGCACCAGCGGAGGTGTTTTTATGTGATATCGGCGCTTGTTTATCTACCGGAAATTAAGTTATATAACATATGATAAAAGCGAAATATGAACGGTCAAAATATAATACTCAAAAGATTCCAGGTGCAACCTTAATTCTGACTACAGCTTTGGATATGCATTTTCTGAAAAAAAATGAACGAGGCTAGCGAGAAATGTCGCAGCAGCAATGGCAAGCCAAATAAAAGAACTGATTTGTATACAAAGAAGAAATATGCTCGTACTGATGTGCCCTGTCCTCCAATGACCTTTGACACCATCTCACAATCGTCGTTGAGTTCATGCACCGCATTAACCGTTCTGTACTTCCAGTAATTAGCTGAACGGGAAATTATTACTTAAAGTGAAAGAAACTTTCGCAACAATCTTATCTTCGAAAAACGTTATACCCGGAAGTGGTGTTTTCCATTCAACGACTTGGGCTGAAACCTCATCGCTTTGCAGGCCATCAAGTAGAGACGCCGGGTTAGCCTGCAAAGAACCAGCTGCAAAAACACTGATTGTGGTTCAATGGCTCATTAACCCATTCGCGACCGCGCAGGATTGCGCAATAGCAGCAGCGTCAGGAGATTTTTCTTCAATAAAATTCGAGTGGAGGGAGATTTCCTCTGCCCAGGGCTGGCGTAGATGAGCGAGGGTATGAAGATTCTTTCCATGGAAGAAAACTTCCAAATTCCATTTCAAGCCCTGCAGCCACAGTAATGCCATTGTCCCGAGTGAGAGCTTTGTCAGCCACCGGTGGCTGACATTGTCACGAATGGGTTAAGACGTCACCTCTTCACCATCGAGCTTCTAAGTATCCCTTTTCGTTGTGAAGAAAGTCTCCCTCAGTCCGATACTCTCTCCGCTCCACTGGCATGAGGAGTAAACAACCGCGAATTGGCCAGTCCAGAGAGTTGTACTCCGCCCCACTTTCTCGTACGAGCAATACGAGTACGTTTCTCTCGTGTTAAACATGGAAATCGCAGTACTCGCTAGTCCTTATGGAAAATCACCCCCAAGACCTTCCGGTAGGCAACATGACGCACAGTGTCCGTCCCAATACTATTTCGACCCGCGAAGCTCGCTTAGTCTCTTCGTGGATTGACTACCCAATTCAATGCCAAGAGTTGATGTTCTATTCTCCTGGTTGGCCCACGCTTGCCATGAGAAGCGGTGTTTAGAGTGTGCAATCAGTCCGTATTTCCACGCACAGTGTCGATAATATGGAAGACAGGCGAGCTGAGCGTGAATGGACTTTACTGTTGGTGAGAGGACCAAGCTGTTCTTCCCTTTCTCTACCGCCAACGTCTGCCTTCCGCAGCTTCGTGTGGCGGCTGGCTGTCCTCCACAGAATCCAAAGTACCCACCATAGTTAGGCGTTGGTTAATAAAAACCAAACACGCACCGGCTTGTGTGAGAGTAGGCGTTAACTGGCTTTGAGCCTACTTCCTCGTGCATTTCGGTATCAGACACTTATTCAGACTCTACCTCATGAACTCTCACATAATTACCTATTATACGTACTCATCGATTTCTGACGGTCCCCGACTATCCCGCAGATGTCACTGGCTAGTGGTCGCAGTCCCGTAACCATGAGCCTGTTTCTATGGCCTCTTTCTCATCCCACCACCGCACTGATTCGAGTCACCACCGATCTTGACCCCACGACATAGATACTTCGCAACTGGCAAATATCATCGAGTTTCCCCCACTGTCTCCCCGTTAGAGCTATATGATTATGGTGTGAGGAATTGGGCAGTCGAGGTATGTCTGACTCACCTCCGTGTCGGCATAGTCTCGAAAGAGCGAGGTAGGCGTAATCCTGGATCATGAATTAACTGTTCACTATGGACCTTGTAGGTTGGCCAGTGTACATTGTGCTCGAAGATGGATATTCGTTTGAACATGCTTTGAACCTTGTCCGACCGAAAAAAGCCATAAGAGGACTACCATTATATTCCTCACACCAGTTCGTCTAAGGTGAGCAAGCGGTCTTCCGTGAAGCGCGATCTATAGGAGGTGATTGACGTTAAAGCTCGCGGCCGGATTATATTCCTTTTCTTTGGAGCAAAGTGAGTTATATAATGACATTTCGATGAGAAGGGATCTGGTTCTTGCCAGTGGTGACTAAACATTACCGTTCGTGGGCGGGCACCCTGAACTTCTGCCTCTGGCCCGCGGCTACCGTACAGTATGTGGGCATACCGTAGCGTCCCACGTCCCCACCCCCGCTTAGTGTAGCTCCGCCTCGTTCTATATTAACTTTGCGGCGCGAGTGTCCACTGTCTCTCTCCCAGTTGTTTCACTGCCAGCACTGTAACCCAAACAAAAACGCTTACCCCGCAAATTTAAGTGCCTTATATACGTCTAGTTTTTTTTTTACAAAAATAATTTTCTTTTCTTGGCTGATCTGTTTTCTACCCTATCATTCAATCTCTCGCGATCCAGCAAGATAACCATTTATTTACCAACAAAGGTCCCTCCAATCGAGTCCTTTCATTTCATATCGAGATGTTTTGGTGTGCTGTTAGAAGCGATGCTGCACAAACGAGTAGTCAAATCACAAGCACTATCAAGTAGGAAGTGGTTTGGAAAATTACTTCAGACCCTAAGAGCTCAATTTCAGCTCAACTGCGACTCTCCATAATGATGAAGGAACTTGCTTAAAATCAAGCCCTGGGATCAGCCTCGGTAGTTGACAGGATGCCGCGAGGGAACTTGTAGTGTTCTTCCCTAGAGAGCGTGCCACACCGTCGCACAAAATGCGCGGTTAGGGCGCTAATCGTTAAGGGCTGCAACCATCGGCCCTTTTGCAACGCTTCCCACCCACCGCGAGAGATGGTGAGATCAGCGTGCTCTCTCAAACGACGTGCTCTCTCGCGTATTTTGTCTTCTTTGATCGCCCTGTCTCGCCATCGTACCACATCCGACCTTATTGAAGGTCAAGGCCTTCACTTTAGCTTACGATTGACTAGCACTCTAGCGTGGCAGCGGACTTCTTCCGCTCACACGGTTGAACCTTCGGCCTCTGAAGACGACGATTCAGTCGAAACGTTAGGCCTTTGAACTGAATGTTCCACCAAACAACCTCGTGAGGCACAATCAGACCCAATTATAGCGTTTCAGATAGTAGCTTCTCTTGCTTTCTTTTCCACTTTTATTCATTCACAACTCTTCCGGTGCGCTCTTATAGACCATTTTATTTTGGGGTTTGTCTTTAAGCAGGTTCTCAAAAATAATAAACAAGGAAAGGACCTGCACCGTCAACATGAATAGTGTATGAGACGTCACTATGACTCATTAACCCTTATGCTACCCCTAGAATAGCACCTGACTTCACCCAAAAGCTGTCCATCAAGCGGTGAGGAGCAGAAATGGGAGCCACAACATCTTTGAAGTTTTCACCCAAACCTCGAAATTTCACGGATTCTCTAAGGAATTCCTCAAGAATTCTTGAAACCTTCCCTGAATACCTTTAACTGAATCCTAACAATTTCCAAAAATACACTGCCACCTCCAGTTAAATGACTCGTTCAACGAAGAATCTTTGAAATTGGCTCACTACCTTGAGTATGCCCTCATGAATAGCAAGTAGATATATCTGTTTCCCAGAGAATGGAATCGAGCCCTAAAAGGTGAGAAGGCTCTGGAGAAGACTATCTAGGATTTATTACAACCCGTACAACGCAGTACACAATAATGTGACATCATAATGAGACATCCGAAATGGCTTTCTCGTTGCTAAGTAACGTGGGTAACAATAACGTGGGTAACAAAGAATTTCGACTTAAATATTCGAACGAAAGTTTCTGGATTCCTTGCAAGAAATAGAATCGATTGCCAGCTAAAGAAAATTGCTGCGCTGTGCTATCAGAGCGGAGCTATCGATTCATTTTTTCAGTGAACCTTTCGGAACGGATGACTCATGGTTCCTAGCGATGTTTTGGTTGTTTTATTGTGTGTTCTCTCGAAAACTCGACTGAAAAAAAAGGAAATTGGTGCTGATCAATTCATTGTGGCACGCACCCGACTTCTATTCATCATTTTAAGGCTTTCAATTCACATATAGCTAATCACCCAAGTTGGATCTGAACTCAGCCAGCATTCAGAGCATTGTTTTCCTTTCCAAGTGAGTCTGGTAACATGTGATCTAGCGGTACTACCCAAGGGTTCATCTGGCCTGCATGGGCTCAGACCATTTATTCTTTCTACCGAGTTCCAGCCGCTTATTTACAGTTGACCAGGTGCAATCAGCCGTTGGCTAGCGACAACAGGGGAAGAGGCTGTGTTCTTTTCTTCAGAAGGAACATCCTAATCGGTGACCATAAAGTCACAATTTCTGAAGACGAGCAAAAATTTTCCGGGACGACTAAAGGAGGTTGAAAAAAAAGTTATGAAACGCTAGGAATTTTCACGTTTCAGCAGTTGTACATATATGAACCCGAAGAGCTGCGCTGTTTCCAACGCAACTCTTGGCCGCTTGGAAGAGCCAACAAAGAAAATGCGAAAGGGGTTACTGTAACTGATGGTAAACGTTTTTTTTTTGATCATAGTGAGTGAGTCAGAGGTGGATGCTCGTTGTTGCTCGCTCGACAAACGCTTCGCCACTTCTTTGACAGCCAGCTGAAGCTGCAAGCGAAAACGATTTCGAAGTGCTAGAGTTAACATAAAGCCTTCGCCTTATAGGAAGATAGGAAGGTAGTTTGACCGACCCCTTTAGGAAAGTAGTTGGACCAACACGACCCATAAACATCTGGCCTTAACCCACAAACACTAAATGGAATTTTGAGTCAATCAATCTTGTGTCATCCCGGGTATATTTATTCATTATTTCTCACTGTTATGATTGATTGACCTGCAAATAAATAAATAACAAATAATAAATAAAGATTTCTGAAAAATTCCCCTAACATGAAGCTGAGAACGAGGTTTCGCACGTATACAGGGTTGCATTGATTGGCAATTAGGTTCAGTTACTCTAAAGTAGAAAGCCTTTCAGTCTCATAGAAAGCAATCTTGAAGCGTTCATGGAATGTTTAGATATTTACTTTCGAGAATCGATGTAAATAAGATCATTAACTTACAAAAAAGGATCCGGTTCTTCATAATAACAATAAAGAAGATCATTAGATACTGGTCGTATGAGCCACTCCGCGCGCCGGTTCATCGGGAAGGCCATGATTGAATCACAGCGTTCTGGCAGGTGAAAGAACGTTCACGTCCGTCCACTCGCTGCTCTTATAGCGGCGGGCGTTGCACAACAACGTGACGTTATTGCGAAACCTCGCAATGGCGCAGGTTCCATGCGATTGATGGGTAGGTTGAGTCAGAAAACCATGCTATCTCAAAAATGCTGAGTTAGGGTAAAACACTTCGCCCGAGGCGGGACTGGAAGCGCGTCTCTCGCTTACTGGGTAAATGTGCTACCAGTTAAGAAAGTTTGAAAGTTGCAAAGTGAAGAAGAAAAAGCGGCTTCGCGTTCACCCGAGTTTCCTATTGTTTGATTGTATACCATTTTCCTACAGAACACCAATGGACCGGGTTATATACCGTTCACATTTTTGTGGAGGACAAGCTCCCGATTTCAGCTGCGTATTCTACTGTGTTGGTGAGTAACTGTTCTTCAACAAATTGGCTGACGATTGCCTGCCGAACTTTTATTGTTTTTTACTACAGTGCGTTTCAAAAGTATAAAGCCACCCATGAAAACTAACTTTCCGAGTTAAGGTGAGTATTTCATGGCTTGCCATAAACTTTATTGAATTCAGCGTGTTTGGAAACCATTGTTCTCTTTATTTCAGGAAACAAAATGATTCACATACATTTTTATAAGAAGATTTCCAAATATCCCCTGTTTCAAAAGTATAAAGCCACTTGCAACATAACTCTATTTTTCCAGAGAAAAAGTGAACATCGTAAATATTAGTAACTAGCGTGACTTCCTTTTTTAGAAGTGAGATTTAATAGACCATTTGGCATACTATCCGTGAGCTTCAGAAGTATAGCGGGATTCAGGTGGTAGGAAAACGTCTCGATGGCTGTCTGAGGTCTCCCACGTTACTGTACTGCTTTCCATACGCGTATATCTGTCGGACAATGATACCCCAGGTGTTTTTTATTGGATTTGGATCTAGGCTGCTAGCAGGCCATTCCAGTACACTGATTTTGTTGACGTAAACCCGGTGTTGAGTGGACCGGCTGCGATGGATGGTGGCGTAATCGTGCATAAAGATGAAGTTTTGCCGACGACTTCCACACAGAAACGAGAGAAGATCATTAAGAAAAGCATCCTGATTCTCACTGGGGTCCATTTGACACGAGACGAAAGACAGAGGGAGCACAGCATCGCTGTAGAATGCAGCTCAGACCATCTATGCGCCACCACCGAAGTTTCTCCTGCTAAATACCAGCGGATCTTTGCTAAAATCTCTCCAGAATCTGTGATGACCATCCGGCCCGTCTAAGTTGAAGTTCTTTCAACCACAGAAAATGAACTGAACACTACAAGCCATTAACTAAACGTCATGATGAAAGTGCCTCCCTACCCCCGTAGAATCACCTACCGAACCCCAACTCGTTCGCATGTTCCTCCGGGCGAGTTCGAGACGAGGTGCTTTGTGATGCTGTTCCGGACGTGGAGTCTTCATCATGGATTGTCGCACGATATTTGGAGCAGAGTTAGCGACCCTCCAGATGGAACTTTTCGAAGCAAAAAGGGAGAGCTCGTATCGGATCTGACTGATGGTCGCAGTAGAATTGGAAAGGGATCGTTTAATATGGCGGATATAATACTCAAGCAGAACACGTGAC